CCCCAAAACCCCAAAACCCCAAAACCCCAAAACCCCAAAACCCCAAAACCCCTTTAGGAATATTTTCCTTGATTAGTCTATTCAGAATAATTAATTTTCTAAAAAGATTAAAAATGGTAAGGTTTGTTATGTAAATCTAGACCAAACTATTGGGACCCCTCGTGACTGATCTTAGCGGCAGCGTGGTAAGACATTCTAGTAATCCTGATATAGCAAGATTGACAATTTAATTATTATGGCAATAAACTTGCAGTTACCGACTCTGAAGGTTGCATTGAAGTTCAAGATTTGGAAGACCAAAGCAGTAAGTTTAAAAGATCTTTGCATTATCTCAATTTACTCGTAGCCCAAGGAGCTAATCATGAGTCAGGATTTAGAAGAGAACATTTTAAAGCCCATGATGGTCCAATCTGGCAAGTAACTTGGGCTACTCCTGAATGAGGGAGCTTATTGGCCTCATGCAGTTATGACAAAACTATCAAAATATGGTCAGAGAAGAACTGAATGCTCACAAATATCCATACATTATCTAAATATGACTGCTCGGTAAATTGTATCCAATGGGCTCCAGCTGAATACGGAGTAAAATTGATTGCTGGGTTAAGTAGTGGGAAAATAATTGTTGCTTCATACCTTCCAGCAGATGAAACTTGGGACCAACACATTATTGATGCTCATGACTCTAGCGTGAATTCTATCTCCATTGCAAAGGCAGATAAGTAAGTGCTTTCGTTAATCCACACAATATTCTGAGTTAGAATCCCTGTTTTAACCTCTCAATTATAGCTTCAAGTTCGTATCCTGATCATGTGACAACCAGGTCTACCAATGGGTCCAAGTAGAGAATGAATTCAACAGGTAAAATTGTCGTGGAGATATTTTAGAGAGAAGATCGGATTCCATGACGAGTGGGTCAGAGATGTAGCATACTATAATTCTGACCTCCCAACTGATACCTCCAGAGTCGTGTCAGGTGGAGAGGACAATAAGGTCAAAATTTGGAGAAAGGATGGAGACCAAGGTGAGTGGAAGCTTGAGAAAGAGATTACAAAAGATTCTCCAGTCTGGAGAGTCGATTTTTCACCAGTTGGAGGACTTCTTTCGGTTTGTTCTGGTGACAACCAAACAACTGTGTACCAAGAGAAAGTTCCAGGCAGTGGAGACTGGGTCTTAGAGTCGATACTGAATGAAGAAGGAGTTATCAGAGAGAAGTAATCATTCAATAATTAGATTAAATAATGGGGTTTTGGGGTTTTGGGGTTTTGGGGTTTTGGGGTTTTGGGGTTTTGGGG